CTCCTCCTCCTCCTCCTCCTCCTCCTCCACCACCACTGCCTTAACGTCTACCGCTGTGGCGTCTGCCATGCCCATCAACACTACACACAATCCTAACGCACCAACAAACACCAAATTCACCACCGTCAACACCAGTGATGATGACCTGGTCTATATCTGTCATCACTACGATCGCACCTTCACTTCACACATCGGCGTGTTTGGTCACTTGCGAATCCCTCACACGGTGACTGGCGAATCAGTTCCTGGAGCACCAGCTTACACCCGCCGCATCCGCCTCCACCGTCCACACTGCCCTCGCACATTCATGCATCGCATGGGCCAATTCGGCCACATGCATATCCACGAGAGCGGAGTTGACAGCAGCCCCTACACGCCTTGTACATTCAGCACACCCACTATACCTAGTCCCACCAACACACCGTCGCCCAGTGCGCCCACCGCCACCAGCCCCATCACATTCAGTACATTCAGCGCACCCACCATGCTCAGCCCAACTCACATCCCGTCACACAGAGCGCCCACCGCCAACTCCACCATCAGCATCACTGAACCTGATACTGACACTGCCGAATTCTCATGTCCAAACTGTCCCCATACTTTCACCTTACGCATCAGCCTACTTGGTCGCATGCGAATTCACCGCACGGAGACTGGCGAACCAGTGCCTGGGGCACCAACCTACACTCGCTGCATTCGCCTCCACTATTCACAATTTTCCCGCACATTCACTCACCGCATGGGTCTATTCGGTCGCATGCGTATCCACAACAGCGGAATTGGCCTCAGCTCCGACACACCTAGGACCTCCTGAACATTTCCCTTGCCTAGTTCTCTCCGTATCCCGCCGTCCAGCACACTTACCACCATCAGTCCCACCGCATTCAGCACATCCTGCACACCCACCACGACTGGCTAAACGCGCACCCCCTCGCTCTGCGCGTTCACCATCAGTAGCTCCAACGCTGCCACCATCTCCGAAACCGACAATGGAGTCGCTGAATTTTCTCGTCCACACTGCCGCCGTACATTCGCCTCACGTACCGGCCTGATCGGTCACTTGCGAATCCATCGCACAGAGGCTGGGGAACCAGTGCCTGGAGCACCGACCTACACTCAATGCATACGTCTCCACTGCGCACATTGCACTCGCACGTCTATTCACCGCATGGGTCTATCAGGCCAAATGCAAGTTCAGGAAAACCTACGGCAGACAACCACCGGCTGCATCTAACTATCATATCCTCCCTCACCTGCATTTCACCGCACATCAATATCGCCCACCACAACCATCCAACAGCCACCTCCCACGCATGTGCGAAGTGTGCGTCTCGGCTGCGTATTCATGCTGCTCCACTGCTGCATGTGTAATCCCAGTCCGAGACTGTCACGGCGCGTCAAGCACTGTGGCACGGAAGGCTGTTGACCGACGCCGCAACTCTGCCCAGTAGTGTGAGTGTTTGTGTAGAGTGGCAGATTGGTGGGCTTAGAGCCAGTCTGTGACGGCCCCTTCTGAAGCGATCTGTGACACTTTCGTGCATGTGAGGAAATTGTGTGTACTTTATGGGTAGTGCCTCCCAGTCGACGACGGTTTGGTTACCGGACCTTGGAGGGTGACGGCCGAGGCTATGTGCAGGACCACGTCTCGCCCTGCAAATGAATTAGATAGGAGCGTCCGTCTCGTGAGGATAGAGGACACACGACTACCGAAACAATTCCATTATGTTGTTATCGGTGTTCGTCAGCCGAGAGGACCAAAACGACGCTACAAGGACACATTGACAAATTCTCCTAGGCAATTGCATATCAGTTCAGAGACCTGGGAGGACATCGCCCAGAACATACGGGCCTGGAGAAGGGAAGTGAAGGTCGCGCTGCCATTTACGAGTCAAATCGGATTACCGCCGCCAAACTCGAACGGGAGGCTCGCAAGTCCCACGTGCCCCGCCTCCTCAATGTCTACCATTCGCCGCTTCCAACATGCCCGCGCTGCCAACGCGCATTCGCGCGCGAATTGGCCTCGCAGGACAAATTCGGACCCAAATGTGCCATCAGCCCGGCAACGTCAACCTCTCCTCTCACCCCCTCCCTGGCCGAAAGCCATCCTCGTCACCGCCGATCACACTGTCACTGCCCCGTCGCCACCATCCGTCCTGCCTCAACCCCTGCATCGACTGCAGCGTCCAGCATCATCTCCACTACGCCTTCACTCATTCCCTCCAACGATGGGACGAAGTCCGACGGCCCATCCACTTCAGGCTTCAAAAACATCCCCACCTTCAGCGATATGGACCCGGTTCATGCCTGTCCTCATTGCAACAGTACATTCACTTCACACATAGGCCTGGTCGGTCAGTTGCGAGTCCGTCACACGATGACTGGCAAACCTTTGCTTAGAGCACCAACCTACACTCGCAGCATCCACCTCAACTGCCCTCACAGCACCCGCACATTCATTTACCGTATGGGTCTATTGGGACACGTGAACATTAATGAAAACTTGCGGTAGACAAGCGCCGGTCACACCACACCACCACATTTTCCCCACCAGCAACCGCACCTCCCGGAATCATCGCCCATCACAAGCATCCAGATGTCAGCTCTCACGCGAGTGGGAAGGGCGCCCCTTGACTCCTTCTCCATACGGCTGCATGTGTGATCCGAGTCTGAGGCTATCCCCGTGCGTTAAGCTCCGTGGCATCGAGAGCTGTCGACTGACGTCCCAACTCAGTCCCAGCAGTCTGCCCAGTTGTTTGTGCTTGTGTGGAGTGTCTGACTGGTGGGCTGAGAGACAAGCTGTCACGGCTCCGTCTTAAGTGGTCTGTGACATTCTCACGCATGTGAGGAGTGTGTGTGTGTGTGTTTTATGGGTAGTGCCTTTCAGTCGACGACTCCTTGGTTACCCAGCCCTAAAGTCTGACGGCCCAGGCTAGGGCAGGGTAAGGTGTCGCCCGTCTAGGTTAGAGATGTGAAAGCGTGTGCTATCGGTATCAGCAAACCATGGCCATCGCAGTCTTGCATGCGCTGGCAAGTTTCTGGCACCTGGTTTCCTGCTGGAAGATACGCTTGCGCTCCCGAGGGGTATACAGGTGGTGCGCATGGCTACGAAGTCATCATCCCCGGCCTTCTGACCCCCTGTTTGGCTGTTGTTGTTGCTGCTGCAAAATCCTGCTCAAGGTGGTTGGCACAGCCGGACCCTCAGCCAGGCTGGTGGCACGCCTGGCTGAGGGTCCGGTTGTGCCAACCACCTTCCCGATCTCCTTGACTCTGTCTTGACACCTGGTCCAGGTGTGGAAGAGGGGGTGCGATAGATGCTTCGAAAGTCTACTATGACTATAATCTAATTCGCTCGCAAGTAACTGTGCCTGCTGCACCTAGCTGTGTAGCACACGGTGGACATTATCCGAATCAATGTTCGAACTGTCGTGTATAAATTCGCCTTGTGTCATGTGTACGTGTCTTGCGTCCGTACAACAAGTAACCAGCACCAGAAGGACATAGACCACTGTTACGACTTATGTAGTGCACGCTGCTGCCATTTGCCTACGTGGTCTCTTTACAAGGTTCGAAGTAGGACCGAAATGTGAGTGATTTCGGATAGGATTAAAGTTTTCCTGCTTCGTGGTCGTGAACCTTGCCCAATACATACTACTGACTGCAGGAAGCTGTTTGATTGATGGTGCAGCTTCGGTGTGCAGACCAAGCCTGGAACGCAAAACCTCCCCGTCTATAAAGAACACCCCTATTGATAAATAAATGAAGGGTCGCCGTCTCGGGCGGTTTAATAGCGTCCTCGTGATCACGAAGTAAATGAAGGCTTATCCACAAGACCACCTTTCTTGACCAACGCCGAATGTGATGCCGTAGCCCTAGTTAGCAACTGAAAGGGATGGTGGACTCGAAGATATTCAATGTTTCGGAATTAAACGCCAACTAGACAACAGCTGCATAAGGTCTGGCATACAAATGCAGGGTATGTCTCGTAAAAGCTGGTGATGCCGCGGACCCTATCGCTAAACTCGCATCTGTGGCTCTTGGCGAAAATAAAAATTAGCATGTCAAGTCAAACAGGAGGATGGGAAGGTGACCGGAAAATGGGGAGTGGGTTAAAAGTCACCCGAGACTAAGGCATGTTGAGTTTAGATCTGATATATATGTCCGATAACGAAGGGCGTTGTGGCGGCTGACAGTGTCTGGTATATCGGGCCGAATTTTCTATCAAAACAGCAAAATGACAATGAAAGTGAAGACCGAGTCAATAGGGTACGCTCGGTCTGCGTTAAAATCCCTCGAGACTTTGGAAATTTGTGCAGGACCAGGCGGGAGACCATGCTTAAAGAATGAGGGGTTTCCGTCAAGACAAGGTTTTTATGTAGACTAGACAGAACTACGGTACCTAGAAAACACTAACTGTCTGGATACGTTCGACCGATGGTGCCGAACCAGTCGACAGCAAACCACCATGAAATCAGTCAACAATGGCCTTCGTAGTAACCACTTTGCATAGGCTGAGGGAAAAGTTGGCCGAAACGTGCTCTCATTCAAAAGCAATCCTTACTGTTGAAACCAACCAAATCACTCAGATTGGGCTAAAATAGATATGGTGAAAGCGGACCCTAAACATATCGCGGACCCAGTCATCTCTGTTTTGCGTGGACAGTGTGGCAGTTGGTCAAATTTGGTGCGAGAGTTCATCAGTGCCAAAAGCATAAGGGACCTAACATACAGCGACGGACCGCTCTAATCATCATCATCATCATCATCATCATCATCATCATCATCATCATCATCATCATCATCATCATCATCATCATCATCATCATCATCATCATCATCATCATCATCATCATCATCATCATCATCATCATCATCATCATCATCATCATCATCATCATCATCATCACCACCACCAGCGATCTCAGCATGGCCAAGCGTATGCTAGTTTAATAATCAAAAAGTCGATTTGGCAAACACGTGTTTTCGGCAACTCTTTATCAGGCCAAAACGGTTACATAGAAGTTTAAGTTATGCGAAGTTACGGTTAGATCGCAGTTGGTAGCCAGGAATGGGGAAACGCACAGCCAGATCCCTGTCGTACGGGAATGGTGGGAAAGGGGGTTATAAGGGTGGGGCAAATGGAAGGGGTGGTAGAGGAATGCTGGAGTTTCTGGGTAAAAGTAATGTTACCAGGGAAAGTGTTGGGAAGGTTTAAGTAGGTGGAATAATGGCAAAAAATTAAAACCTGCACTTAAACCTAAAATCCAAACCTGACCGAAAACCCTAAAGCATAACCCTAAGGCTCAAAACCGAAACATAAACAAAATCCTAAAACCCAACGCTAAACCAAAACATAGCCATAACCCTAAAATTGAAATGAACCCTAAACTTAAGCCTAACCCTAAACACAACGTAAACTCCAAACCTAACATTGACCATAACCTTAAACGTAACTCACAAATTAACCCTAACCCTAACATTAACTCTAACCCTAAAAATGGCCCTAAACCCAAAATTTACCGTAATACAAACCCTTAATCTAAACCTAACCATAACCTTCAGCCTAAAGCCAACATTAAATCTAACCCTAACCCTGAACTTAACCCTAACCCTTACCCTAACAGAAACGTTAACCCTAACCTTAATCCTAACCCTAGCCCAAACCTCAACCTTAACCCTAACCTTAACCCTTAACCTAACCCTAAACTTAACCCTAACCCAAACCTTAAACCTAACCCTAACCCTTACCCTAACCCTAACCCTAAACGTAACACCAACCCAAACCTTACCCTTAGCCCTAACGTTGACCCTAAACCT